GGAGAACTCTCTCCCTCAAACCCTTTTAGAAGGCACTCATCCCATAAGGGCAGAGCCCTACTAGTCTCATCAGCTCCTGCAAGGCCCTACCTCTTAGTACTGTTGCATTGGCTATTCCATTTCAACAATAGTTTTGGAGGTGACCTAATAGTCAAACCTTAGCAGGCAGCTGCTTTGTATCAGCCACTCTGTGTATGGCTGCGTAACAAACTAACCCGCAGCTTCCTGACTTCAAATACCAATGATTCCGTGTTCCCTGAGTTTCTGTGAGTTGACCGGGCTCAGCTGGGTGACTCTTCTTTTCCATGTGGCCTCTGCTGTGCAACAGTTATCCAGAGGCTTCACTGGTCTGGACTGTCCAAAATGGCCCCACCTACATGGTTTGCAAATAGTGCTGGGTGCTGGCTGGGAGATCAGCTGGGGGGTGCCTTGGGAGGGACCACCTCAATTCTCCCCCCCTGGGACTTCCCCACATAGCTATCTGGGCTCTTGCACAGCATTCCACGAAAACGTGTTTTAATTAGGGGAAAGCAGAGTCCCCTGATTTCTTAAGGCTTAGCTTCAACATCGGCATAGTCCACCAAGCCTTTTCAGTGACGATAAGGAACAGGGCTGGCCGATATTCAAAGGGAAGACAAAGAGACTATGCTTCTCAGTGCGGTGAGCGACAAAGGCTTCGTGGCTATCTTTAATGCACGGCCCACCCCTCACTACTCTCAAGGCATATGTGGTTTTGTTTTGGAGAGGTTTTTGCTATAGGGTGCATGCGCTCGCCAGACAGGCAGAGAGAGACAGAGAGACAGAAAGTGAGAAATCACCTCCCAGGGGGGAAGGCCACACCACAATCCCTTCTCCTCCATTCTCCTCTCGGGATCTTCAGCATGCATGCACACGCATCCGGCGTGAGTTTAAGCCACCAGGTCCAGGACGCGAACTGCGGTCGACTACGTGGGAGCCCAGCAACATAGCCATTACACCAACTGCTGATCCCAAGGCACATGGTTTTGACAAAGCTGACACCCCTACCTGGAGCGGCATGTGACCCATCAGGCTATCTTTTCTTTAGCAACAGTGATTGGATCGGGGAGGGCACATGATCCGAGACAGACCGCAGAGACCATCAGATGCACGTCAGACACTTTTGTTAGAGATTTCAGGAAAATAGTTTCTTGACTCTCATGGCAAACTCTAACGAGAGAGAACATGAAGACGGAGATGCTGCCACCATCTGTTACCACCAGGAAGTCCAAGAATGAAGCCAGACAGGACCAGCAGTTAGTGTAATGGCTATGCCACTGAACTCCCATGTAGTCTACCGTGGTTCGAGTCCCGGACCCGGTGGCTTAAACTCACGCCGGGCGTGTGTGCGTGCGTGCCCAAGATCCTGAGAGGAGAAGGGATTGCGGCGTGGTCATCCCCCCTGGGGGGTGATTTCTCGCTTCCTGTCTCTCTGTCTCTCTCTCTTTCTGGCAAATGCACACGCCCTATAGCAAAAACCTCTCCCCCTCCAAAAAAAAAAAAAAAAAGAGTGAAGCTAGGAATCAGGAATGGAAGATAGCCAGAGCCAGGAGGGGAGAGAGGGAGAAACCGAGTCTGGATGGCTTAGTTTAATTCTGGAATACAACGAAACCTCCTCTAACTTAGACAGCCCCATGGGCATCCTCAACTGATCTGCCACCCAGGCGATGTGCAGGGATGTAGGTAGGGTTCTACCTGTTCTTCCCCAACACTCACTGCCAGGTGGTGAGTTCGAATGAAAGCAACTCTCGGATGGAATGTGACTAGCCACATGATCTATTGGGAAGCAGTTACAGTGA